AGGGTTCAGAGCACGTCAGAGAGTGAGGAAGTCGCTTTATTTTGAAATCATAAATTCACAATTTTCAGCAAATATTTACTCCATTCACAATGGGCAGTAAATAATTTAATAGATTATTCCCGAATCAAAAAGTTTAGCCCAAAAGGAAAGATTATTATAAGGACAGCTCAAGTCTTCGCTTCTGTATTTCTATCACTTCGCACGTAAGATAAAGCTCCAGGAATAGCAATACAGAAGCCCAAAAAGCCAATGTGCGACATAAGTCGGAATCTGCGGCGCATCGGGCGGGAAGACTTCGCAGAAATAAGATCAGGATGCAAGGGATGGGTAACGTCATTTATAATTCGACCAGCAAATTGCTTGACCGTATTGAAATGTTATTGTATGATAGTATCGACTAAAAAAGATAAGAAACGCCAGCAGTAGAAGAGAGCTTGCGCAGGACTCGTTTCAAAATTCAAAGATCCTTTCTAAGCAAAGCAGGAAAAATGGAAGGAGAGCCGTATAGGCTAAGAGGCAGAATGCAGGCATCGATGAATCGTCAAACTAAGGGTTGAGGTGTGTGGTAGGAACGTAAACGACGTATGTAATAAATAAGATTACGAACGTTCGTAAATAGGGACTCAATATGGAGGGAAAATGAAAGATTTGAGGACAAAGTAACGCCGAGGTACTTGAAAGAGGATACCTCGTTAGGAAGGATGTCAGAGGATTCAGGACTAGGAGACGGCCGCAGTGGGAAAATGCACTGAATGGATTTTTGGTTGTTCATTAGGAGACCATTTTCCTCCGACCATACTAGGACATGGTTTAGGCCATCTTTTAGAGACTGAAGGTGCGTATGACTTTTGAGAGTGTGTCCAACAACCACATCATCGGCATACATAACCAAAAGACAGTCATTAGGGGACCTTAGATCGTTGGTGTGGAGGGAGAAAAGATGAGGGGATATAATGGCCAGCATTTAAGGATATTCTCACAGTTTAAAAGGACTGATTTTAAACACGTTAAAAGCTTTTGTTCTTATCTGACGAGGAATTAGCTTTCCCGGAATAATGATTCCTTAACGACATTCCGTCAATTATTGGAGAGATTTATGCTGCTTGTTTAATTACAAAAAGACCACATCGCCAAAGTGTGTGCCTATCAGGTTAAGAGGGATGAAATTATGTTTTGGATGGAAATGGACGAATTATCCCGAAAGTACGCAATCGCTAAAGTTCACCGTGAGAGCAGATGATAAGAAGTTATATCTGGTCCAAATTATTCCGTTTTTATCTCGCATTTTCCTAAATCTGCATCCTGGATGAAGCTTAAACTTCTCATTCAGTTTTCATGCTTGCCTTCGCTCATATACTCAGAGCATGACGTTCTCTACAATCCTACCTGCCTCTAGATGGAACTCGAACCGCAAATCTGTTTCTGGAGGTCATTCGATGAACTAAGTCAAGATGAGTATATATCCTGTGAAGAAAATTCCACACAGGAGCCAGGCATAGCCGACGACAGACAGAAAGATCTGGAAAGTATCTCGGATAATCCATCTAACTCAACCTCCTCACAAGGAGTGAATTTACCGCCGAAAACGCTCGAAAGTGACTTCTCGGTGGAAACTTCTTGTCCGATTTCAAGTATTGCATGTCAGAATGATCTGGAGATCGCGCCATTTACGGATGAGGTAGCGAAGTCTCCTCAGGCTGTCACCTGTCCAACTCAAGAAAAAGATATCATCAGAGATTATGCTCCACAGCCCAAATTGTTGCTAAAACAGGTTCGTGGACAATGGAGGCCTCAAAGCGTCGGTAGTTCGTCAGAACTTTGTCTGATTTGCGATCGATATTTTCATGACCGACGTGCACTAAACGCTCATCTCACGCGCATGCATGCCCCAACGCGCAACCTTCGAGACACTACCGCGAACGGATTGAGTAAGTCTCTAATTTTTGAGGAATCACCCCAAGTGGCAATTAGAAGACACTGTCGGGATGCACTTTAACACAAAAAGCAGAATATCAATCACTGATAGACACGCCCGTTGGCCAATCCACATAAAAAATGACAAGCTAGTACACAGAGTGTGTAATAGGGGTTGGTTGTTAGGAAATTATGATTTTTGGCCATATCTGCTGCTCTCTCACCTATTTGCTTTTACACAAATTCTGGCAATGTTTCTGTCCGAATTTTCGTACTACTTGCTTCTGTTTTAACGATAGGATTGTGCCAGAATCTGCATCAGTTCTCATTGAACTGGTTCACGCTTTACATTTGCTATTTTGCATAATCAGAACCCATTGTGATTTTTTTGAATGTACGATTTGCGGACATTTCAGTTGTAGTGTTAAAAATCAGTTTGGCCTGAATGTCTATTATGGTTCATTCGTTGCGCTTTCTCGGTTGTGCTGATGGCACGGTGTCTGAGCCGTTTGATAAATTAAAGCGAAACGACTGTGTTGTCAAAAGAGATTAATATTATTTCACAAATGATCGCCTAGTTCTTCAGAATAAACTGATGTTAGTAACGTGGAGTGCGTGTAAACACTACCGTAAAAACTGGACACGTATCAAGTTCTTTTGTAAACTAAAAGTAAAAAAAACGAATGGTTCAGATTTAATCGCGCATTTAAAGCTGTCCCCCACCAGAGTATGCGTTCGTCGGGCTACTCTTAGTCGACATGAATTCTTCACTAATACATGTCTTTACGTCTGTGGGTAGCGCTAGAAGGAAAATTTATACGACGTCAGCTACTGCGTCCAATCTCATCTTCAATCGATCTAACACGGAGGGTCAAGTGAACCGTGAGTGGGGAATGGGGAGTGCCCTTTGTTCAGAGAATATCAAGTATTCAGGCCCCTCACTACAAACATATGAACGTGGATATAGTCCCCACGAGGTGCTAAAAGACGTGGTTGTCAAAACTGATAACTTACGGAACATCTGGATCGTCCTTCAAATTGAGGACCTCTATGTTAATTGCCAAGACTTGCTCTCGGGAAGACTGTGTGTATGCAGACGTGAATACAGAACCGACAAATGTGTCACTGGTAGGGGGCGCTCACCGATCGTTCACACGGAACTCACTCGTTCCGTTGTGCCTTAAGGGCTAACAATGTGTCAATACATCTCTAGTGTTTCAAAAAATGCTAGCTCTCCACGAAGTAGAAGAACAGTATCTGCAAAATGCTGAACTAAATTATCTCAACAAAGTTCTGCGTCCAAAAAAACAAGAGCGATAAGCAAATGTTTGCCGTAATAGGGTTACTACCAGCGTCTTCGAGTAAGGGCAGTCCACGCAAAGAAGAAATTGCCATCTTTGGGGATGGCTGATCAAAATCAAACCAGTCGAAATTTATCGGGAATTCTTTAGCATAAAGAGCAGCTAATCTCATGAACTGACTTAAGACCTGGCTTCGTACCAACCGACATCACTAATTACTCCCAAGAATCGTCGACATATTCATGTGTGAATCGCCACTGCTCTCAGTTAAAAGATATATTTTTACATTCCCACATGTCTACTAACTGAGGGTTTATTTCCAATCCAATGATTTCAATTCCTGCCATTTTTCATTTCGTTGTAGAAAGTAGGACAGTCACAAGTGGTAGACGATCAAACAAAAATCACAATGATGGAAGTCCCGATGATAACTGCTGGATTCTGCAGTGCGGCCTCTGTCAAATGACATTCTTTAAAGCACGAGATCTGCATCAACATACCATCGCGATGCACGGAGCGGCGAGAATCATCATTAAAACGCCCTGGCTGCAAGAGCGGACAACGAAGAATGCAAGAGGCTCTGATTCCGCGACGCTGACCAGCCCACAGCAAGCGATGACTTCGGCGACAGATGTTACACAAGCATCGCCAATAGTCGCGGCTAAGCCGGTTGAGTCAGCGACCGAAAAGACAGCCATCGGAGAGGTGGCTATAGCAGAACGAAACTCCTCCTCCCTTGCAAAGGATGATCTGAGGGGCAGCCTTTCGCCCGACAATGCTAGTCGAACCGTGGTTGCTGCATTAGAAGCGCCCCTTACACAAACATCAAATTCTTCAGGTAGTGCCTTTCTTCTTAACATGTGACTTGTCTCCGTCGCTGCCGCCGCCTCACACAACTGAAAGTAACTAACAGACGACATATAAATCATAATTCCAGAAGCCTCCACAGCGCTCTGAACATCCCTGATGTGTCAGTAGGTAGTTCGACCGAGTGCATGCTCCTACATCGCAAGTGAGATGAAACGTATTTGCAGATGACATGATTGGGTTTGAAGGGCAGGTACCACACAGGAAGCGCACAATCGAGACATGTTAAGTAACCAATAACGGAATTGTGTGTCACACCTTTCCCGTCCTATTTAGGCGGAGAATAGTCAGAAAGTCAACAAGTACAAAGATGATTGCGTGCACGAGCAGACCTTTGCGCACCGCAGCCTACAGGAGGATTGCAATAATGTAAAATTACGTTCATTAAGTCGAGTCAGCCTGATATCCTGTGCACATATGGGGCGCAGCAAAGTAAGAAATGAAAGCAGCCAATGAATCTCAATATTGGACAGAGATGGCTAAAGCCACGTGCAGGTACTATGCTCGGCGGTGCTCATTGTTCAGTAGAGTAGTTAAACAGATATGAGGATATCCCTCCGCGGGCATATGGCCTTACACAAAAACGTTCTGCCGGCTTTCCCTATGCAATGATGATGGTTGATATGGCTTGCTCTCGATCGGCCAGCTTATAAATACCACAAACAAAGGAGCGCTAGGTCCCTGCAAATCCACATCAAAGGGCGTGCGCTTTGCTATTAAAAACGACCACAGAAATTCATAATTTATAATCAGTATTTGCTAACATGAAGTCAGTTGTGAGCAGTGCTTCCTGTTTAATAGTACATCGTACTACATTAATCGGTGCTGATCTTCTACTTATCGGGTGTTGTTTCATCATGTGAAACTGTCAGGTCCTGCTCATTTGAATAAGTGGCAGTTCTCTTCAGACATTCTTTGACAGAATTTTCCTTGAATAGCGCGAAACTAGTCATAAGAACACCGAATTAGAGGTTTAAGTTCAGTGACGATGTTGTTATTCCGGCGTGGCATATTCAAATATGACAATATATGACAAAGGTATTATATCGCACTCCCGACACAAGTATTAGCTATTAGCCCAGACACATGTTTCACCGATATTCTGTCGCTTCGTGACACAGTTAGTACCTGTGTCGGAAGTACGGTATACTACCTTTGCCATGTAAATTTTGTATTACTTGCAGTGCTACTCGTTTGTGGAATATGCATTACGTGGTTAATCCATAATAATTGGTTGTCTTCGACTCTAATATTCACTGAAATTTCGAGTTAGACCACAAAATGTCACGTCGAGGAGACTTCACTCCATAGCCCGCAGTAAGTAATATTTTGAAAATTATTAGCTTGATAGAAATATAACGATTATTAGATGATATAGAATCATCTCTGCGAATCCTCAACTTCGTCTTAGGACACTCAAAAATGAAGCATAAACCTAAATTGGGAATATTTTCAGATGACAATAAAAGTATATTTCTTATGCCTTCACAGATATGCCGGAGACACATGCGTCGGAAATGTTGCACACCCACCCAGGGACTCCAGAAAAGGTAACAAGTACAAATATTTCAGGATTATGGATTTGAAACTGCCTGCTTTGCCTCTTTTATGAGTGCAACTGAGTGAGGCATAAAATTCGAAAACTGCCGTAAGATCATTCCACATTCCCGACTTTTACGGCTGTCCCATGAGACTGCAGCACAATGCATGCAGTGTAGCATTCAGATAGCACCAATGGCATTGTTTTGGGCGGACAGTAATCCATGCAATAGGAACTAGTCGAAATATGGGTTGGATACCAGTGTCGCAACACTCCGTTACTGATGCTAGTATTATTGCAGTTCGTTACCCATACTGTAAGCGTTGGTAGAGTAGCATTGGCAGCCGTGGTGGCGGTGGTAGTAGTAGTAGTGCTAATAGTAGGATTATTAGTAGGATTCGCCGTATCAGTGGTGGTAGACGGGGGAAAAAGTTTTCTTCAGTGTTGCGACACTGTATTCCCGCCAGTGGTAGTAGTATTAGTAGTAACAGCGGTAGTATTGGTAGTAGTAGCAGTAGTAGTGGTGGTGGTAGTTGTAGTAGTATTAGCGGTAGTAGTAGTAGTAGAAGTAGTAGTAGTAGTAGTAGTCCGCCCGTAAGACAGGCTGGTGGGGGAATAGACAATTTTAAGTGTTGCGACACTGTATTCCCGCCGAAATATGTTTGCCAGTCTTCTTATTCTGCCAATTAGCAGAAACTCAACTGACTCCAATAAACAGCCCCAGTACAAATAATACAAATAATATTTGCACGTTCTTCCAACTATTTCCCATGACAGCTGCAGTTTGTTGCAACGCTCCCGGACTTAATCCTTTTATCCCACTGTAAATTAGAGCTTCCTTTATGTCTTACTGATTTCTTTGGAACTAGCGATGTAATTAGTCCAGATCAGAAATAAACGCCTGCCTACCGCGTGCAGACTGAGTGGAATTTTTAATTTGAGCCTTGACTTATTTTTATTCCTTCTTCGTTCTCTTTTCTCGGTGTGCAATATGCCTGAAAAAACGTGAAAATTATCTTTCCGTTATGTATGTTTACATAATTTCCCTCTTCTTTTACCACGAAAGTTTCCCCACAGTGTCACTGGCGTGAATACGACCAATCCTATTTCTACTACACGCATGCAAGACGATAACGACCGGCCTTACCTCACGTCCATGTCGAACTTAGAATCCGACCGCAACAGGGACAATTCTGTTGACAGTCTGGGCAGCCCGGACCCCCTGCTGTCACATGTTTCTCATAGCGACTGTAAGTTTCGGCCGAATTGCAGCTATCATTCTGTATTATGCGTATACTGACTTTATTTCCAATACGCTTTGCCGGTCTTTCCAACACTTATGCTCTACGTTGGCTGATATTCAAACTCATCGACCTCGTTTGTTTCTAAAATGCAACTTCATTGATGAGAAGGCAATTCGACATAAAGTGTGCGTTTTTGACACCTTCAATAACGAAGAGTGAATGCACCAGCTGAAGTGCTGAGTTGCGGTTAAATCAGATTGCCCGTCAGGTCGAGAGCTACCGGACAATGGAAGGGACCTCTGAACTGTCTTTCGATGCAATTGGTTTCTAAGATTAAGTTAACTTGCAGAACCACCATTAATTCACTGTGTATTAGCACTGTATGTAGAGTGCATTATAAACTCTCTATCTCTTAGCTATTATTTACTTTGCTTTATGATATAAATTAGTTTATTTGCGTCTAAAGGTCTTCCATCCTAGTACTACTACTACTACTACTACTACCACCAACATCAACTGTATTCTAGTTTATACACCACTGAATGATCGGCATTTTCCATTTCACACTCGGAGTTATTTGGTAGTTTCAAATCCCGATATCGGGCTGCTTTTCGGTGACCGAAATGACAGGTTCTGCTTACTACCCCGGAAATAAGCAGGAGTTAAAATGTGAAAATAACATGCGAACTAAAAGGCACCGCTATCACATTTACGGAGCATTTGTTAGTCATCCTCTACGATATTCTTCGCTGTTCAGTATTCCGCGAATCGCATGCACTGGCAGTTGTACATACGAGCATCTAATGAACAAATATTCGGCGGATTAATTCTTTGCGAATCAACAAGTCCGATGAGTCATATGTGGCAGGAAACCTCTGCCCTAAAATGTGACCCTCTAGGGTGTTTATTATGAATGTCAGTTGGCAGCCACCCAACAATTACGACCATGTATCAACACGTGCAATGCCCTGCCATCTGTACTGAAGACCTTCGAACATTGCCTGAGAGAAAGACGATTTTCACTGCTAAGAGCTGGCAGCAGTGAACGCACCTGAACAAATGCTCAAGTTTAAACATGCACAAGAAATAAGCCGCTGCAGTTGCGAGGCGTTTAGCTCGCCAGTGGGTCCTCCAGCATTCCCTTGGGTTTTCCGGTACATACTCCAGTTAATAATAGGTCAGCTTCTAACTGCGTCAGAAATTGTGCTTGGCTGTTAGAACTAAACGTTTTGTTCTGATAGCTCTACAATTATAGTAACTGTTCAGTTCTTTTATGTTGTTTATACTGGACAATAAATTTCATAAAATTCGGTAGAGAGCCACCACTTTTCGTAGTTTCCAAGCGCTCAGCTTATATTCCACAAATGGAAATGATAGAATATGCAGCCTCCAGTTGTTATTGCTCCGAAGTACCTTCTCACTCCGTCTAGAAGTGTATGCCACATCAAGGTCACGTTTGAAATAAGAATTAACGACGCTTACCACATCTGACGTTATTGTTAGGATGAGGCTGAAGATTAGGTGTTAGGCAAAGAATCAGGTTGGGTTTAGAGGTAGGACTAAATTTTCCTGCCGCATAACAGATCGACCGTCCTTACCGACGACGTCCATCGTGTGTTCTGCAGCGGGGTGGGGTTTGGGATAATGGATTGTGCGTGAATTAACTTACAGTGATAGCTGACCTGCTCAGCGTCCACCGCACTCTCCCCTCCCCTCCACCCCACCTGGGTGCGGCATCTCAAGGACTAGTCAGATGCAAAACTACACGTGTGATTGAAACTCAGATAATACCCGTGTTCATACAGTAATCTGAGGCAAAATTTCCTCGGCATGTCTCCTTCGTCTGTCCAAGACTGTCATTAATGCATGACAAGTTAAACCATAAATCTATAGAGAAGGGTTACCTAACTGCCACCCTAGATCCTTAATATCTGGAATAGCTTTCAAGACGAAGCAGACAAAAATACTTTAATGACACTCCAACACGATATGATCGTCTACGTGTAGGTTTGTTATGCACAGGATAGAATGCTGAGGCAGTCTCCCTAACAAGACACTTTCGACTACTTTCTCTCAAAATAGTGTCGAACAAAAACATTGCATCCGAATCCACCGCCTCCGGCACATGTTCACAGATGGAAACAAGTGTTTGCACCGTCGCACCGACTGCAAAAGAGTCTACCTCCCCCATCGTCTCCACCCACCACTTCCCCTCCTGTTTGCCCTCGCCCATTCTACCATCAGGATTTGCGTATGTGGGACGAAATGGAAACGAAGAGAAAGGTGCAACAGCCCCAGAATGTGCGCAATATTCAGCTCATGTATCGCCTTCCAGTCGTCCAAATCTGAAGCGACCACAATCAGACCGCCCGACGGACTGTCTACACTGTTCTGCAAAGGTCGGCGATAATATTTGTCCTCAAAAGTGTATGCGGCAAACCCCAAGGACACCCATCTCCCTTCCTGCAGCCATATGCACGACCGAATCCCATGAATCCCCGCCTAGCCTCGCTACTCTCGTGTCCAGCACGCCAGTCACTACAATTACTCCAGGTAGTAATCAGCGGCAGTGTGACGTGTGCATGAACCTGCGTAGATGCAAAGGCGAATGTCAGGCAGAAATGACTGCCAAGATGCTCCTTGGAAAGACACATGAATTTCTTGTGGAGATAAATAGACGACCACTGGAGTTGGTGAAACCGTTGGTGAATGCGCTTCAGCGTCTACTTTTTACTATGGAAGCCAATGTTTTTGTAGCATACATGAACGAGTTGTTACCTGGGGCCTCCCGAAATGCTCTCGAAAATCCCTACCTTAAGCGGATTCTTTCTCAACCCACATTTCCAATTGAAAAGCCACAAAGTGTAGCCAGAACCACATTAGAACAACCGTCGAATGTCTTGTATGCGGGCTTCCAGGAGGCAACTGGGTTTAGTAAAATTGTCGGTGGTTTTCAATGCCAGTGTTCAGCAGGCGGTCTCAAAGGGACGATTTCCGATCAGCAGGAGTATGGACCCAGTGATTCCTGCAGTAGCTTGCTTCACAATTTCGGTTCACATTTGGCGACGTCTAGCTCTCGAAGTATGGAGTCCGCTACCTCTGTCCACAGCGGTCTGCAGATTTCTTCGAAACAGGCCTCCCGACTGCAGGAAGCAGTCACTCATCGGGCGCCCTGGTACAAAAGCCTGGCCTGCGAGGCCACTCGCCTACACCAATGATGCATTCAATCCGCACCGGTGTTGTTTGACATGACTAGGCTTGTACATATTTTTTTCCATTTTTGAATATCATTTTGCTTTTTCTGCGCTGATTCCATCCACGGAAGTATAGAACACATTTTTACACCCCATATTAATTATTCACAACTGCAAATGACTATCTAAATTATAACCTTGAGCATCTGCAGTCATAATAGCTCATTGCTCCTTTAAAGTCGGCGAGGAAGTTGGCAAAAGACCGAAAATGTCGTTTGCGGTTAAAGTGCGCGACCGTGTGTTCCTCAAAAAATCGACGCCTTCACAAGGAGTCGTCAGTGTTGCACTGAGCCTAGGGAACACCGACAGTCTAATTTGGACATTTCAGGTTTGATGTACGGTATGTTAATTCCGAAAGATCTGAGTATTCTAAGTCTACAGCATGTTCTTTCTGCCACCACATTGTGGTATACAATCATGTCAATGTGTATTGCAAGATGGCATTCGGGAATTTGGTGATTCATATCTAAAGCAACACTGTTGCTCTATACAATTTTCGAGAATCTGAGGAACCTCTGTTCCCGCGCAAATTTTCTTCTTTATCAACTTTTTATCACTTTGTCGATGACTGCATCCAGGTTGCAGTCGGTATTTTTGGCCTGTGCAAGAATTTCTTCCGCCAACTCGAAATATGACTGCATCCTCTAATTACGAGTGAATGTTTTTAATTTTTCAAAGACTTCTGTTGAGCCCATTGACCAAACGAATTCTGTCATATTGCACGTGGCACGGTCTAGAGTTGGCTGCAATTTTTTCTGGATTTTTTGATTAGATTGCAGTTGGTAGCCGTCCCTGTACGGAAAACTCCGAGGTGCCTGTCTTGCGGGACCGGTGGTAATAGGGGGTATGCACGTGGGACAGTTGCGTGCAGGCGTTCTTGAATGTTATAGTGTATGCCCGAAACTGAAGCTCATGGTAAAGTGTTAGGCTAGTTTATTTAAGGTGAACTGAGCAAGGAAGTCGTAGAAATAAACCTGGATGTGTAGTACGGCCTGTGGAATAAATGCGTGCTAGCGCCCGATTGGAAG